TGGATGGTAATGCAAGAAGCATCCGAATGCAATAAAAACTGAGTTGTCAATTGCTGGTCCAGTCAGACTTAGGCATCTGTTCTCACTTATTATATGATGTCAAAGTCATTCTTGAACCATCTTTGTCTTTTTTTTGTGACATATGAAGATCTCTGCAACACATCTTGAATCTGCCCTTTTTTGTAACTGGTCAAAGCAGAAACATTAAAACATTCATTTATTGTCATATTAAGAGTTATTGTAATGTCCTCTATTCTATCCTGCTTAATATTACAACAAAACCTTCCAGCAAGTAAAAAAGAAATCTGAAGCTTGAGTTAATAAAATAAGAAAATCAAATCAATTTGATCATATGATGCTACTTGTTCTCAAGTTTAAGCTAAAGTCCCTCTCTTGACCTTGAAAAGCACTGACAGAGTTATCTGATCAGATCACAGACAGTCCTTAGCCTTACCTGGCTGCAATAAAAAAGAAATCAGCTCAATATAAGATATTCTCACTCATGGCATACATGCTATCCATCATGGCAGCTAAAGCCTCTTGATATTTAAAAGATCAAAACTTAAAACCCCCCTGTTCTCCCTCTACTGTGAACACTCCTGACCTAACTGGTTAGACCAACAATCACCTCTTATCTCTCTGGGTTGATGTATGTTTTTGCATGTGTATACAGTATGTACTGTATGTATGCATGTGTATATATATATACTGTATGTATGCATGTATGTGCATATACATTTGTACTTGTATGAGCAGTATGTGTGTATGTACATGCATTTGAATGTGTGTGTTTAAGCATTTGATTTTGTTTTTGCATATACTTATGTTTTATACCCTTGATGATTTTTTGTTCATGCTATATGTACTGGTTGCTTTTACATATTTATTTTCTGTTTTAAGGGATGCAGGGACTCCACTGTAATATGATTATTAACTTTCTTGCTGAGAGTTAGAAGATTGATACCACTCTCATACTGTATCTGCGCACTAAATATGAAGCTACAGCCAATAGCCAATTAGCTTAGCTCAAAGGATGAAAACAGGGGGAAACAGCCTGACTCTGTCTGAAGGTAACAAACACAGCCTACCGGCACCTCTAAGGTGAAGTGTGTAAACGAGTTGTGGTTTAACAGGCTGTTGTGTACCAGACTATTTCATGGTCAGTAGCTGTGTTACCAGGCAAGACTCCAACCAGTCCCAGCCAACAAATAGTCATAGACATTTAACCCCTGTAAAATGTTGACTTTTTTATTAATTTTTACGCTCTGTTTTTTGTACAGATTAAACAAAAAAAGTTTATGTGACATTTGAGTTTTAGAGGGATTTATAGGTGGACTTTGTCCCTTTTTGACAGAGCCAGGCCAGCTGTTCCCAGGCTTTATAATAAACTAAGCTCATCAGCTGCTATTAGAGTTTATGATTTATCCTACCTGTCTTCATTTAACCCTCTGCAAGAAAGCAAGTGTTCTTCTCAAAGTGTGAAACTGTCCCTTTAAATAAGGGCTTGTTTGTACAATAACTAAGATACCCGGGGATCTAAAATGATATTTAATATCTAATTTCTCCTCATCACATTTTTCCTTTCAGATCAGTCCTGTGGAAGATGGCATGAAGAGCGTTCTTCCAGACTCGCTTCACATCTTTAATGCTATCAGTGGCACGCCAACCAGTGCCACCATCCAGGGCATCCCCAGCTCGTCCTCTGTGGTATGATGCTAACCTGGGTTCACCTTGACCTCAGCAACCCCCACCCCCGAAATTGGTGATGAGGAGAAATTAGATATTAATATCATTTTAGATCCCCGGGTATCTTAGTTATTGTACAAACAAGCCCTTATTTAAAGGGACAGTTTCACACTTTGAGAAGAACACTTGCTTTCTTGCAGAGGGTTAATGAAGACAGGTAGGATAAATCATAAACTCTAATAGCAGCTGATGAGCTTAGTTTATTATAAAGCCTGGGAACAGCTGGCCTGGCTCTGTCAAAAAGGGACAAAGTCCACCTATAAATCCCTCTAAAAACTCAAATGTCACATAAACTTTTTTTGTTTAATCTGTACAAAAAACAGAGCGTAAAAATTAATAAAAAAGTCAACATTTTACAGGGGTTAATGTCTATGACTATTTGTTGGCTGGGACTGGTTGGAGTCTTGCCTGGTAACACAGCTACTGACCAATGAAATAGTCTGGTCACACACAGCCTGTTAACCCACAACTCGTTTACACACTTCACCTTAGAGGTGCCGGTAGGCTGTGTTTGTTACCTTCAGACAGAGTCAGGCTGTTTCCCCCTGTTTTCATCCTTTGAGCTAAGCTAATTGGCTATTGGCTGTAGCTTCATATTTAGTGCGCAGATACAGTATGAGAGTGGTATCAATCTTCTAACTCTCAGCAAGAAAGTTAATAATCATATTACAGTGGAGTCCTGCATCCCTTAAAACAGAAATAAATATGTAAAAGGCAACCAGTAACATATAGCATGAACAAAAAATCATCAAGGGTATAAAAACATAAGTATATGCAAAAACAAAATCAAATGCTTAAACACACACATTCAAATGCATGTACATACACACATACTGCTCATACAAGTACAAATGTATATGCACATACATGCATACATACAGTATATATATATACACATGCATACATACAGTACATACTGTATACACATGCAAAAACATACATAACCCAGAGAGATAAGAGGTGATTGTTGGTCTAACCAGTTAGGTCAGGAGTGTTCACAGTAGAGGGAGAACAGGGGGGTTTTAAGTTTTGATCTTTTAAATATCAAGAGGCTTTAGCTGCCATGATGGATAGCATGTATGCCATGAGTGAGAATATCTTATATTGAGCTGATTTCTTTTTTATTGCAGCCAGGTAAGGCTAAGGACTGTCTGTGATCTGTCAGATAACTCTGTCAGTGCTTTTCAAGGTCAAGAGAGGGACTTTAGCTTAAACTTGAGAACAAGTAGCATCATATGATCAAATTGATTTGATTTTCTTTTATTTTATTAACTCAAGCTTCAGATTTCTTTTTTACTTGCTGGAAGGTTTTGTTGTAATATTAAGCAGGATAGAATAGAGGACATTACAATAACTCTTAATATGACAATAAATGAATGTTTTTAATGTTTCTGTTTGACCAGTTACAAAAAAGGGCAGATTCAAGATGTGTGGCAGAGATCTTCATATGTCACAAAAAAGGACAAAGATGGTTCAAGAATGACTTTGACATCATATAATAAGTGAGAACAGATGCCTAAGTCTGACTGGACCAGCAATTGAACACTCAGTTTTTATTGCATTCGGATGCTTCTTGCATTACCATCCAATCTGCTCATGTCAGCACAAGGGAAAAACAGGAGAATGGTGTTATCAAAGAGTGCGTTAAATCAACAAGTGACAGAGTGTTACTCGAAGTCGGCCAAAGGTTCCATTGTAATAACAGTCGCTGAATGGGCGATCTCCCCCTGTTGAATGTGTG